CCTTCCCCCTGATTATGAGTTAATTTCAGTCATCACAAGCTGCATTAAATACTTGATTCTCATGGGTCAAAACCCCATGTCAACAGTGATTAAATCTCAAATAAGTCTAGACTCATCTTGATTGGTGAAATAATGACATTAAGCAGAACAGATGTGAGAGCAGCCAGATACTAGACCCCAGCCATCTCTGATAGGGAGCAAACTCATGTCCTGCAACCTGTGCATCAACAGGAGGGTGCAGTGTGATCATTTTTTTACATTACATTTACATTTGTAATAACACTGACCTCAGACCTGTGCACAGGTACATTGTAGTTATTCAGCCCCAGCAAATCCTCTAAAACCTGGTTTTATGCACCTTCAGCTGGACTACACTCTGATTAAAAGCAGCCCTGCACACTTACTTTAACTTGCATTTCATCATACAGTTAATTTTAGGTTGAACCACGTTTTAAATCCAATATTTAACATTTTAAAACTGATTTAAGTCCAAATCAATAGTACGAAGCAATTCCAACCAGTGTCTTAGTTTTGGAATCAATCAGTGATAAAATGTACTTTTCGATCTTGATTTATTATTTAGCTAAATGCTGTCCTGGTTCTGACAGTTTCAGAGTGTTTATTTAGTAAAACACAGGGTTCATTTTTGTTATTTTAAAGCTGCCATGGGAAACTTTAGTTTAATATGGGTTCTGGCGCCCCCTGTGGACTAAGTGATACCCCTCATCTTGCAGGGTGAACAATACCTTTGACTTGACCGGTCCATGTGAAATGAGCCGTTCAAAAATGCAGTGGTGTTTTAATTATTATTATTATTATTATTATTATTATTATCATTATTATTATTATTATTATTATTATTATTATTATTATTATTATATCATTATATTTGTATTTTTCTACTTTTTCTCATTCGTTGATTTATTTTTTCCTTGACTTTACTCTCATAACAAAAAATATCCTGCCTTATTTAATTTTTTTCCCTGTCAATGAATTTAAAAAATTTGAGTTTGTTTATTATGGAGGCTGTTTCATTGACTTATACATGCACCATATATATCCTACCAGCAGAGGGCACAGTATGCACTCCTAGTTTCAAATGTAAAGTATAAGAACCAGAATCAGAATCTGCTTTATTGGCCAAGTATCTGGACACATGAAAGGAAACTTGTACAAACATTTACCATGAAAAATCACACTAAATATTACAAAAAAACATACAAGCTAAGACATTTCACTACTATTTACAATATGATGTTTCTGGTATTAGTGGTACTGCAGAGGAAAGTAAAGCCACAGTGAGGATTTTTTTTCTTTGAGACTATTTTTAAAATAGTCTCTCTCTAGTTTTTTTTATCATAGTAAAATGACTTTAAACACCTGAACATGAGGCACTTTTGAAAATTGGCTGCTCATGGACTGAAAAAGTTCAGTAAAAGTGTGATGGCATGCTGCTCCGAGCTCCGTTAAACCCTCTCCCTCTCTGAATCCGTCCGCTGAGTCCATATGTGCTAATGGTTTCCAGACAGCAGAGAGACGCTGCAGCCTGCAGGTGAGCGCCGCTGTTTCACTTCCTGCACTTTAATTAGACCCAAATTAAAAAGCGCCCCCCTCCCTCCGCTCTCAGTGACTTAATGGTCGAGTGCTACTCCGCCTGTTTGAGCAGGAGGAAGCCTCATTAGCACTCTGCTTTTCCCTGAGTCCATGAAACAAATCATCAATAGACGACGGGCTGACGGGCTTTAAAGACTCTGAAGGTTAATTATGGATCAGCCCGGCACATTTTGGAGTTCATTACACCCATTCAGAGTTTAGGAGAGGCTCCTGATCCCTGTTAGCTGTTTGATTTACAGTTCACCAAAGTTCAAGTAAAAAAACCTGCTGCAAAGCTGCAGCTTTGGCAAACATGCATGAACTCAGAAGTTACACAGGGACCAAAATGAGATGACTTTGAGTTAAATCAAAAAGCATTTTAGTTATGCAACTTTAGATTTAATTTAATACTGCTATTATCATCTTTAAAGTTGACTGAATCTAATATACAAGTGTAAAATGCAGAGGGGTGGATCATTGTACCACATTAACCAGTAACAAAGTAAAGTGCAAAACAATTGCAATACCGCCAGTGTCCACTTGAGGCTGTTTCCAAAAGCCGAGGACAACCACTGATGTGAAAATGTCCATCTTTAAAGTGGAACAATCAGTGTGATCGTAAGACGAGAGAGCACCTTGTAGGGTGGTTTGTTTGAGGTTAACCACGGACAAGACTCAAAGGAGCTGTGGTCTCAATCTAGATCACATAGTTTTATCTCCATATGATACATCAACACAAAGGAATCATTAAATATTAGCCTTTCCACATAAAAGCAAGCAGGACATTTTTTGCTAACTCCAAGTGACTCTCTGATCCACATAGAAGCAGGTAAAAACATGGAGCTGAAGCCTCTTAGCAAACAGCTACCAGCCAATCAGCTTTAACCTCTCTTACTTACCTTAAAATGATCAAAACAGACGAGTTATGTAAAAATGAATCTCCTTATAAGCTTAAAAAATAAAATATAAGCCATAATGATATTATTGTATTATTAAATTATTAATTTTAATATTGTTGTATGAGCCTGGAAATGAGATTAATTCTGCTGTAAAGTTTCACATTTTAACATGGGACTCTATGGGAACTGACTCATTTTGGGACCTAGCCTCAAGTGGTCACTGTGGGGAGTGCAGCATTCATTTTGAACCCTGGAAGCTGCTGCTTGGTCCAAATTAAGGCTGTCATTATATCAGATTTTCCCCTCTGTATTACTGTGGCCATGAGATATCAATCCAACAATATTTTTTACTAATAAGTTCTATTGGCTTACAATTACTGTTTAAATTCATGATTTACTCACATCACCTTGAATGAAATGTAAAAATGTGTAAAAACTTCCTCTAAGGAATAAAAAATAAACTCAAAGCTGCCTGCAGAAGAACCCTCTCTCTACTGATTAAGTCAAACCGACTCGTACCGCTGAGAGTCTCAGAGCTAAACATCGGGGATCAGTTTGCTGATTATTGCTCTCATTATTTCCTTCTAAACGAGCCTCCCTCAGCAGCTCCCAGATTCTGTTTGGACTCATTTGTCCGGTTTAGGACCTCGGTCTCTGCTGCAGGTTTGATTAGTCTGGACAAGCCTGCAGGTCCACTTCGAGTCTATGTCACTTTGAGGAGTTTTCTTCATTATTTTTAAATGTCATGTCTGATTTCACTGTCTCAAAGACGAGGAGAAAACAGTTTAGTTTAGCAGGGTCTTATAGCCGCTACTTCATTTCTCCTTCATTAACCAGGAATTTATGATTTCTGTCTCCAACGTCAGCCGAAGGAGACCTGATCAAAACAAGCAGAGTTATAAAACTGGACTGAGGGGACTCTGAGAAAAAGCTGAAAATTTAGGAGCAGTGTAATTTTGGGGAATAAACTACTGAATTTTAAAAAGTGGGACGAGAAAAGTATTGGTAACTAAATAAAGGTTGATTAATAATTTTACCTTTGCCAACTTACAGAAAACAAGAAAATGGAAATGTGGTGGCCTCGAAGGACAAATGCTCAAATACTTCAAGAAACACAAAAACGTTCTACAAAACACAAAAAAGTTTGCTAGACAAGGAAAAGAAACATTTTATTGATAGATTCAATATTTTGCATATGCAAAAACTAAAAAAGGATACAGTAAACAGTAAAAAATAACAAAAACACAATTCCTAAAACAAAAAAAGTTAACTGAACACCAAAAATATTTCATGAAACACAAAATCAATTTTGTGATGGACTTAAATATTTCACAAAATGAAAATTACATGAGAAAAAAAATCAATTAACATAAAAAACTTTTCCCAAACATACAAACAGGATTTTGTGTTTGATTATTTTCTTTGTGTGTTTTGTGAAATTTTTCTCTCCGAGAAATGTTTTTGTGTTTTGTGAAATTACTTTTTGCCCACTCAAAATCAAAAATCAAACTTTCCTCTTATTGTTAAAGTAACTTTGTAGAGATCACAAAGTTTGAGATAGTCTTACCTGCTCTGTTGTTGGTGCACAGATTGCAGGGCAGGTTGCTGCTGATGCACCAAAAGATTTTCGCAGTCCCAGACAAAAACTGAAAGCCTTAAGCAAATCTAGGAGTTTTACTGGAGTCACAGCGCACTCCTGTCATCTTGATCATTAAGTTCAAGGTGGTAAGCTGCGCTGTCTCATACCAGTCTTTTTCTAGTCTTTTGTTTGCGATAATATCAAACGTGTTTGATCTTACCGCAAGCCACAATGATATAACACAATTAACAACCAATATATGAGCTCTGACAAAAGTGGAAAAAGGAATCCTGACAGTCAAAACAAGAGGAACAAAAATAGACGAAGAATTAAAATGCATGGTGCATGGTGGGGAAAAAAATGCTAAAAGAATCTAGTTGTAGTCTTGTAAAATCACCCTGCAAGATTCAGTCTTTGTAAATTTTCAGTCTGAGACTTAAACTCTGTACACTTGTCTTCAGATGACTCCTTTAAGTGTAATGCATTGATATGATGATGTGTGTGGTCAGGATGTCCCTTGTGTTGCTTTTTCTGTTGAGAATTAATTACTGTTGCAATAGTTTTGACAAATCAGAATCAAGTATTCAGCACAGTCACAATGATTACAAAAAATGCTCTTTTTTATATAAAAGGGGCCAGAAAGATTCAAACTGAGGTTTATATTACAATGAGTTTAACCTTTGAGGAGCATGAATAAGCAGAAGAGAGACGTGGTTCCTTCTTTTAAAAGCTTGAGGGAGTCTGTAATGGAGCTCCAGTACCCTCTAGTGGCAGCTACTAAAACTGTGAAAAAGAATTTATGGTTTTTGTCTTTAACATTTTATATGCAGAATGTGGACCTCTAATTTATATAAAATTAATTATCATTAATAGTTAAATAAATATTTGAAAAATATTCACTTATATATTACGCAAAGAAAATTTCATTGTAGTGTTTGGGAATTAATTTCATACATAAAACCATTCATTAGAGATGTTTGGGAACAATTTGACCACAACTTTCACAATACATCATTAGCACATTATGAAGCCTCAAAAATGCAGCTTTACTCTCTAGCAACTCCTGCGTGATTTTAAGCATTCATTACAGCTTGTAGCAATGTAATACTCAGAGAACCTAATACTTTAAGAGGTTTGATTCAACTTATTCATTTAGCTCTTTCATGTCTTTTTCCAACTATTGTTACCTTTAGTACTCGATCCAAACCAGGCCTAGACCCATCATGCGACATTTCTTTTAACAGTTTAAACTGGTAGATCAGACCGCCAGACTTCAACACAGGATCTCCATTCATCACAATATGCAAAATATTCTGGCTGCACATGTCCAGTCTTTATTTATCCTTCTAAAAATGACACTTTAGTTCATCTCAGTCCAGTGTTTAGATCATATCATGCTCATGCAGCTAAATGAAACTAAAGGTAAGAAGCTGAAGCGTGCTGTAACTCTGGCCACATGCAGAACGTGGTCTTAGAGTTTTGTTCCAGGCTGGGACTTTTATACAGCCACCACCCAGACTGAGTTTGAGAAAATACCTAGAAATGTTCAACGTAAACATGAAATGCAAAAGAAAAAGTGAAAGATCAAACAGAAGATGCCCAATAAGAGCTTTATTAAAACATCACTTTAAACATGGGAACGCCACAAAAGCAAGTTTCAACATAAACTGCAGCACCAGAAAAAAAAAACCCATAACACAAAAAATGAGCTTCTCTGAAGCCACTTTTAAAAAATACCCCAGGTGAGTAAATGCAAGCTCAACCATACAAACAATTCCTAAAAGGTGATCTACTCTAATACATGTAACCGCTCGATGCAGACTGAGAGCACTTCAGGTTATACGGTCTTCTGCTGGCCCTTCTTTCCGATCAGAGACTTGTGGATGTGAGGGATCACACCTGGGGAGGGGGAGAAAGAGATCATGAAGGAGATATTAAACACTTTTTTGTAAATCATCGAGAGAATTCAGAGAGCCAACTTTGATTCAAGGAAGAGACCACATCATGAAACATCTTCAATTCGTAATGAATGGGCTCTAGTCGAAAGGGCAAAAACAGGCGCCTCCAAGCAGCAAAAAAAAAAAAAGTATTTCTAACCCATTAAGACAGAGGGTTCGGACTAATTCATTGTTGAATAACTATCAGGAGGCCAAAACAGGAATTTTGTTGACACATGTAGAATAAAGAAGAGTCATGCAGTTGTTGGAAAATTTGCATCTCTCACTTAACTTTGTCTACTGACTAATGTAGAAATGTAAAAAGCTTACTACAGAAACTCCCTGGAAAAAAGTGTGTATGTATGATACTGTATGACTGTGTAACAGTGTGTGTATCAGTAATCGAAAATGATTATTTGCTGCCTGCCCCCATCTCTTTATGTTTGTTTTTTTTGTTTGGTTTCGTCTGGTTGGTGTCCGCTTAATTTTTAGTTTTATTTATTTTTTGCAAGTAATTATAAACACATTTTTTTATTAAATGGGAAAACTCAATACAATATTGTTTAAAAAAAAAAAAAGCTTACTACAGAAACTTCTTGGGGGGGGGGGGGGGGACGACTTAATTTTTGGGAAAATTAATTTTGCTTTTTCCCCTCATCCCTGTACCCTATTCTGCAATTAACCAGAAGTTGTCATGTCATGAGTTTCCAGACACCGCAAATATTTATAAAAGATGTATTACAATAGTTGATATTAAGTCAACTTTATCTGAAAGAGCAGTCCAAGAGTCTACCAGACCGCACGTTTACCCACCAACAAAGTGCCACTTGAAGCATGTCAGAGATGATACATGAATCAGTAGACTGACAGAGATGCATGCTGGCACCCCCATGTGGCCACATATTGAATCACACAGTTATACATAATGGCCACAACAGTTTTCATCTTAAACCAACGTAACTAAGACATTTCCTTTTGTGTTTAGGGCTTAATTTCTTAGAGGCTTCAGTTACAAGTGGAGAGCTAAACGTTACTGTATGCTTGAATTAAAAGTAGTATGTTACTGATACATTATAGTTTTCATCCTGAGACACTATCAAATGTCAACAGCCTGATGGCAGGAGAAATAAAGGTTTGTTACGCCAGTTTGTTTTAGTTTTAAGGTGATATAACAGAGCTGAAGATAATAATGTGAATCAATTGAAGACTAATATTCTTCAACAATCCTTTAAAAGTATTAAGGCTATATCTTCAGAAATCTTTAGATTCATCTCGGCACTAAACCCCAGTTGTGGTTCCTCACCTCCTCCGGCGATGGTGGCCTTGATGAGTGAATCCAGCTCTTCATCTCCTCTGATGGCCAGCTGCAAGTGGCGGGGGGTGATACGCTTCACTTTCAGATCTTTGGAAGCGTTTCCTGCCAACTCCAGGACCTAAGAGAAAGCCAGGCGGCAGATATTTACACAGCCCTCACAACAACAGCTCCACGGTGAACACCTGAAAGGTAAATAAGGCGCTATTTATTTACCTCGGCGGTGAGGTATTCCAGGATAGCCGCGCTGTACACCGCTGCAGTGGCTCCCACTCTGCCGTGGCTCGTGGTTCTGGATTTAAGGTGTCTGTGGATACGACCCACGGGAAACTACAAAAGAGATAAGCAGGCGAACAAAGGGTTCAGTGGTCTGACGGTGGGGTATCGACGGCCGCCAGCTGGACCTCTGCGCCGCCTGGATGTTAGCCTGTTAGCCTGTTAGCACAGAGAATGAATGAACAGACCTGAAGCCCGGCTCTCTGAGAGCGCGAAATAGCTTTCGTCTTGGTCTTTCCGGAGTCCTTTCCTGCCTTGCCTCCAGCCTAGAAGAGAAATATACAGTCAGTTCTTCACCACCAAAATTACCCTTTTTAATCCAGTGGTCGCTCGGTGGCTCAGTACTCTCGAGCGCAGGTTAGCTAGCATGCTAAAACGACTCTACCTCCCATCGCCAGCAGCCAGTGACAATAAAAATCAAATTCACCGGCTCCCAATGATAATATGCCGTCTGAAAATATAGTCTATCTCACAGGGATAGCAACCAGCACTCACCATGTTTAAAATGTACTGGTAATTTCTAGCGCTGCAGCACTACAGTAGATTTCTTGTTGCAGATACCGACCGTTGGTTTGAACTACAACCCCCGCCTGCAGATGTCGTCTTTATACCTTCAGCATCTATCCGGGTAACCGCTGAGAGACCACCAGCCAATCACATTTTGTCATGTGTTTTCCTGCCGTGATAGCCAGCCAATAAGAAGGGAACATACCCTAGTTTGCGGGAAAAGTGGCAAAATTCCGTTTAAAGACTGATGGGTAATGTAGTTCTCGCATTAACAGTGTTTTCCCCATTGTCTTTTTTCATAACGAAAGAAAAGTTTGTGCTTGCTCCATAAAAAGCGGGACTGTTTCACAGATTTTACGTCAACAAATCAGCAAAGGAAGACGATGAATGAGAGCTGTTTCATTTGATAAAATCTGCTGGTCTGAAAAGCTATTGGTTGTCAAAACAGGAAGGATATTTGTCAGTTGCACAACTGAGACGTTGTAAAATATTTACCATAACAGTATTTGATGGTTTCAGGATTATTTATACACTAGATTTAATTTAAAAATGTGCAAAAAAAAGTAAAAACGTAAAATTGAAAAATGTTATTGTGTATGAAAAATGCCTTATGTCTAATTTGATGCCAACAACACATTTGAATAATCAAAACTAGACATTCTATTTGGAATACTTAGGCACCACCTCCTCTGCTTGTTGTAAACATACAGTTTTAAGAGAGCATCCCTGATCGTACAGTGGTTAAGTGTCCATGTCATTGGTATCTTCCACATCTGTGAAGGCTCTATTAATGCGGAACCATATCTACAGGATTAGGGGCAACATATGCTGCCATCCAGACAATGACTTTTTCAGAGAAGACCTTTATGTTTCAGCTACACAATAATAAACCACATCCTGTAGGGATAACAACTGCATGGCTCTGTAGTAGAAGAGTCCCGCTGATAAACTGGTCTACCTGCAGTCCTGGCTTGTCCCCAATTTAAAACCTTTGGAGCATCATGACAAAAAAAATAGGACAAAGGAGACTCTGAACTGTTGCTTCCATTCTTGCACAGGTCTCCCTTGCAAAAGAAATCAGTTTTTTTTATTTATTCATTTATTTATTTATTTTTTTGTGCAGTGTGACAATACAAGACATACAACAAACAACAGCATTTGTGGTTTTGTGTGTGTGTGTGTGTGTGTGTGTGTGTGTGTGTGTGTGTGTGTGTGTGTGTGTGTGTGTGTGTGTGTGTGTGTGTATTATATATGTGAATAATAATGAAAAAAAATAAATAAATAAATATTACAATTGTCAGACAAGCAAAAGAAAATTATAATACACGAACAATATCAATAATAATAATAATAATAATAATAATAATAATAATAATAATAATAATAATAATAATAATAACAATAATAATATGAAAAAGAAATCTCTGATCTCATTGGGGCTTACCTGGCTGAATCAAGGTTAAATTGAAAAAACAAACAAACAAACAAAAAACATATCAAAACTGTAGAGCAACTAAAATCCTATATTTGGCAAGAATGGGACATTTCACTTTCAAACTCCAGAAACTGCTCTCCTGGGTTACTAAGGTCTACAGAGTGTTGAGAAGCTTTTGAAACCTTTTTAATGGAATCAAATTCAGTGACCATATACAGCCTATTTTTCATTAAACAATCACATATTTTGAGTTTCAAGATTTGATGTTTTCTTTGCTCAATTCTCGATCAGTTGTCCAAAAAAATAAAAAAAGAAAGATGAAAGAAAGAAAGAAAAAAAACAACAGCACAATAGCCCATCAAATCAGGTCCATTTTAAACAAAATATATTCTGTAATTATAGAAACATGATTCTAAAATTTTTCTATAGGAAAAAAAGCATTGAGGTATTGTCCAAAAAAATCATTTTACTATAAAAAAGAAGGAATAAGTATGACACAAGAGCAAAACATTGAGTGCAAAAATGTCAGTAACTGTAGTAGAATTTTGTTTTAAACCATGAAGTTACATTTATCGGTCATTTACCAACAGTAGGCCTGAAGCAAATATTAAATAGTTTTAAAATACCAAACGGTTTTGTTGTGGTTTCCTAAAGTGGCCACACAGGGGCAGTGAACACTCAGGCATCAGCTCAACACAACTCTTCTGCCACCTTGCACTACAGTGATAATATATACTGCTTTTAAAGATATTTGCAAAATTGAAAAAGTGTTTCAGAATCTGTTTTTGTTATGTTTTGTTTTTTAGAAATGTAAGCCAGAAATTTAATTTAATCTTTTAATCTTTGAAGTAAAACAAAAATGCTATTTAGAATATTACAAGGAGAGTGTGTTAGCATATTTGGAAGTTCAGAGTCCAAAAAATGCTTTATAAAATATTTTTTTCCTCCCTGAATTTCTCATGTTAGTCTGCTATCATTATTTAGGAAAGAGCTGAGTCCAAAGTAGATCCTCTGGGTCAAATATTTCTCCAATACAAGTGAAAGTTCAAATAGCTCAAATATCACTTGGATTGTGGCCGAAGTTCGGGAAAATGCAGGTTTATTTGCTTGTATCATGCAACTTATGCAGAGACCAGAGCGAGAAACAAAACTGCGTCATGATCTTTTATGCTGCCAGCATTACTCTTTTATTGATGCTATGAATGAGTCTGGTGTTGTTTTCCCTGTGTTTAATATAGGACTGTGACATGTGTGCATAATTGTTGGTAAATTTCAGGGCATACATTCCTATATATATTCTTGAGGGGTTTGTTTCTGCACTTTTGCTTCCAGTTCAATGACACTCTGGGGTTTCTCTCTACAAGATAGTGCTTAACCATTGCAAGTGTCCAGTGAAAAGTTCTCAGTCACCTTTGACCCCACAGGAGACCAAGGGCTTAAATTTAAGGAAGGAAGGAAAAGGGACAAGTGTAAGAGCTAAGGATGAGAACAGGGACAAATGAGGGATGGTGAGAAACAAAGTAATGAGAAAGACAAGAAAACTTTTAGAGAAAGATGGTAAAAACTCTATGAATGATGCAGAATTGTGTGTGTGTGTGTGTGTGTGTGTGTGTGTGTGTGTGTGTGTGTGTGTGTCTGTGTGTGTGTGTGTGTCTGTGTCTGTGTCTGTGTGATTGGCAGTGACTGAAAAGAGAGAAAGGAGAGCATGCAAGGTAGAGGTCTGGAGAGAGTGCTGAAAGAAGAGCACGCCTGAGAATGAATGGTATGAGACTGAAACGTGACCAGCCCACCACCAGCTGTGCATGTTGTCCCAGACACACACACTGAACACACACACTGAACACACACACACACACACACACACACACACACACACACACACACACACTGAACACACACACGCACGCACGCACGCACGCACGCAGACTGCCTTATCACCTCCTGACACACACACACCCTGACTGGAGCCAGTTTCACATTAACGCAGCAATAAAAAAGGATGAAAAGGAGACTGAAATCTCTCTGGTTTCATGACTCTATTAATGTTGAAACTCATGATAAAAACAGGCGACACTGAAGCCAGCAATATTGTAAACAACATTTTGACATCGCCACTAAGTTTGAACCTTTTTTTTTTTTTGGGTGGTGGTGGTTGGGCTAAAAGAGAATGTTTGGGGGAAATGGTGAGAGGATAGCTAAAGTCTAACAGTTCTTTTTTCCTGAGCTAATTTTGACTGTGAAGAGTGATACCTTTAATTGTAAAGAGAGATACGTTTCACTAGATGTACTTAAATAATAATAAACTGGGAAATCAGGGTCTTACAGTGACAGATTACAAGAGAAATTATAAATAAACAAACACGATCAATAAACCTGAAATCTAGAAAAAGATATGTATACAGTACATCTCAAAACATCAACACAAAACAAAAATCCAATTCATCCACAATATGAAACAAAGATTTATCATCCATGTTGAAATGATTAAAGCTCATGTAGGGAACTTTTCTGATACCTCATAATTCCAAGTATTGTCAAGCTGCATCTCAACTTGATTTTTTCACCCCAAAAAATCATCTTTCATTCTTTTGTCAGTGAAGTGTATCACTTTACCTGACTACATGTGGAGGAAAGATTAAATCAAGGGATTTACCCCAAATTCAAAGATAGACATTTTTGGTCTTTTTCTGATGATGCAGTTTGCTTTTGTGTGCCATTAAAAGACACCAGTGCTGATATCAGTCTGATTCATAACAAGTGGAAGACTCACCACAAGTGCTTTATATCAAAATGACAGGCCTGTGTTGATGCTTGCGCATAATGCAGCTGATGTCCTTTTATTACAGAGGGAGAAATTAAGCCGCGTTCAGACCAAACGTGACCTCGGCGACCTGAGCAACGACTTTCAATGCAAAGTCTATGTACAGCCGTGACCTGACGTGACTTGGTGACCTCCTGCTGCCGGCGACACGACGTGACGTGAGCGACCTACGCAACCAGGTTGCGTAGGTCGCTGAGGTCGCAGGACGCCAAGTCGCATCGCTCCCAAAGTTCAAATATTTGTTCAAATACTTTCCGTGACTCCGTGCCGCGACAGCCAATCAGGGCTCTGCTGACGTCAACACACCCGCGAAGCAAGGAGGAGGAATAGAAGAATCACACAATGGAAGAGCAGCTCGTCATGGCCGCGAGTTTTCACCCAGTGCTGTACAACGTGGGGTGCGGGTTCTACCGGGGCGAAGGTGGCCCATGATGTCGGGCTTTCTGGTAAGTTTGTTTGTTTATTTATTTCAGTGAGCAGACTTTTTTCTGAAAACACAGCAAACTGCCCCTGCTTGCCAGGCTACATGTTTCAACAACATGTGTGTGTGTGTCTTTGCAGTGGATGTGTGCCGCAAGTGCTGGAAGGGGCTGCGGGATGTCTACATGAGGGAGAAAAGGAGGGAGGAGGAAGGTGGGAGAAGTGGGTCAGCGGCCTCCCAGCAGAGGAAACGGCGTTTCTCTGCGGTGATGTCCTGCCTCGACCCCTTTATTGCCCCGAGGGAGACTACCAGCAACATGTCTCGGGAGGTCGAGGAAGATGTCACTGTAGAAAATGTTGCTTCTTCTGCTGGGATGCCTGAAGAGCTGGAGGAAGCAGGCCCCTAAGGAGTGGAGCATGGACTCTTTGACGGTTGGTTGATGAGTGAAAAAGATAGCAAATAAATTTGAGTCCCCTCATGGTTTAAACACATCATTGTAGTCTAATTTAAGATGGACAGATCAAATCATGCACAAATAATGTGTGAAAATTTTTGATTTGAATTACAATGTTGCCTGATTGCAGAGGTTTGATTTCAAACATTTTTGTCACAATTTTAACTTAAGATAAGCCTGCGCCCTCTCCTGCTCCAGCTCCCTCTCCTGCTGCAGCTCCCTCTCCTGCTCCAGCTCCCTTGCCTTCTCCAGCTCCCTCGCCTTCTCCTGCCCCCTCGTCTTCTCCTGCTCCCTCACCTGCTCCACGGAGTGATGCCTCGGGCCCCACTGCAGCCAGACCAAAAGGTATTGAAAAGAAATATTAACCATATATTCAATGAAATTGCTCAAGGTCAAATTCACAGAAATTATTACAAATAGTAACCGATTAGTTTTTTTTTTATGACAGGGAGGAAGAGGAGGACGTCTCCCACTTCCAGGTTGGAAGACATCGAGGAGCTCCTCTTTCAGGCCCTGCAGAGGCAACAAGACGCACCTCCACCACCACCACCCGCATCTTGCCCATCAGAAGACAAAATAAATTTGATTATATTATTAATATTATATTATATTATTATTATTATATATTATTGTTGTTATAAATATTATAAATATTTGTTGTTTGCCTTGCTTCATTCTTTAACATGCAGTCATGAAGTAACATAACTAGGTTGCAGTGCTTCAATGTATAAACTTTACTTAACAGGTGGCCTTCACACACTTCTCTGCAACGTCCGGAGAAACCTCAAGGGTACGCCGGTACATCCTCCACTGAGTGGAAAGAATGCCATAGGCATTTTCAACCACCAGCCGCGCCCTGGACAGCCGGTAGTTGAAAATGCGCTTCTCTCTGGGGAGGATGCGCCCTGGATACGGCCTCATGAGGTTCCTCCGGAGCGGGAAGGCCTCATCTGCAACAAACACATAAGGTTGGGGTCCCCTGTGCTCAGCTTCAGGCAGTGATCGATCCGGAGGCAGTTGGAGGGAGCCAGAGCAGAGGGCCTGACCAAACGCGGAGTTGGACAGAATCCCCCCCCTCACTGGTCCTCCTGAAGCCTCCAACATCGATCACTTGGAAGCAATAATTGGCATCTACAACTGCCAAGAGGAGCTCCGTCCTCCTCCGAAACACGCCGGCGGCGTCTGCGACGGAGGTAAAGATATGCGGCAGCACAGAGGATGACGTCGGCCATCTTGAACTCTTGTCGCACTGAAAACTGAGCTAGTGACATCATCAGCAACCAGCCTAATCCTGCGACCTCCGCAACTGCAGCTTTGGACCCGCGCTGCGTCCGAATTGCCCGCTCGCATACTACATACTACTGCTACATACTACTGCTAGATCCTACTCCTAGATACAAAACACATTGGCCCAATTCGGACACACTAGACAAGCGGTGGGGAAAGACGACCCCCGCAGGTAGAGAGTAGGTACTGCGCCCGTGCAGACAGTGGTAACGGAAGCCCCCCATCTGCTGGCCTGGCTGTAGTACTGCAGCTGTGCAGTTTTTGATGATGGAATGAGTGAGCTTTAACTCCATGATGTCGCCACATATTTGCTCATAAAATGATTACTTGGGCAAATATGACACCATGGCATGACAAAGAGATACAACCGCACATTTTTTAGGACAGTGTGTGAAGTTACATGAAACTTACATCTGTACTGGTGCGGTCCTGCCTGCTGCTGCTGCTCCGCCATGGTGCGCGCTGCTGTGGCCAGCCAGCATTCACGACGCACCTAAATAGGCAGCAGCTGGTGGCGCTAGCATCACTTGCGCTTCTACAACTTTTAACAGGACGAAGAAGAAGCCCCCAGTGAATTTTGGGTCGGTAGCATGTTCGTAGGGTGCACTGCGACCATACTACAATGTGGGCTTGTCTAGTATCTGAAGTAGTATCTGAAGTAGCATGCTACTCGCTCCAGTGGCCAATCCGGATATGCTACATACTACTTCGACTACTACTTGGCAATTCGGACGCAGCACCGGTGCGAATGAACCAGGGCGCGACCGACGCGACTAGGTCACTTCAAGTCGCATTTGGTCTGAACCATTGGCTGTATATAGAATGGACAGAGTCTGCCTCCTCGCTGGGTGAAGCCACTCCAAGAACAGCACCCTCTGTTGGTGGGCTGCAGTACAGGTCATAAATCCCGTGGACAAGGCAGTGGCATTGGACAAACCTCAGAAATTTGTTACACAGAACATACATTTTTCTCCCCCCTGCTTGTGATGTTGACATGTAGTTACTGTAAGACTGGTTTGTGCTCAAGTCCTCTTTTTTCTGTGAAGCTCCGTTTTTAAAAGTTATTAGGGGGTTCATGTTTTCTATGACTGACACCTGATACAGCCTATTGGCGTTCAGGGATTGCGTAGCTCTCCCAGGAGGGATACGCTGTTTGAGCCAAGCGTCATCACAGCGACTCTCGGTGACTGCGCAGCCGAATGCGCGTATCGCTACTGCGCAGCGCTGGTTTCAGGAAATTAAGAAAAATCCCGGGAATATTGAGAGCTTTTTGGCTTCAAATCCGTATACAGGCGGTAGGCGGAACCAAGTTGTCCATAGTATAAACAGTCTATGGTCTGAACGCGGCTTTAGACAATCAGTCATTCTGTGTGTGACAGAAGTCACAGGAAATCAACAATGTGTCTACAGCCCTCTGGGGAAACAGGAGGATGTGAGAGAAGGAGAGGGCAAGCTCAGAGGAAGAGGAGATGGACAAAGAGCGTGAGAAAGAGTGATGTCATTGGTTCTGCTGGGAACGAAGTAGAGGAATCAAGAAAACAGAGAAGATCGGAGGGAAAAGTCTCTATGGACAAGGTTAATGGGCTGCTTCAGTTTTTCAATTTTGAATGAAAAAAAGTTATCAGCTGGTCTCTGCTAAAATCCTGATAAATACCAACTCTCATGGGCCGAGCAGCTCTGCTGACTGGTCACTGATTGGTCTAATCTTATGACATCATGAGAGAGGCATGTGGGTCAGTGAATATTCACACTCATTAGCAGGACGCTCCAGTTTATGGTTTATCTGGAAGTTTCTATTGTCACTCTGAGAGACCATGAATGCGTGTGTTCATGTGAGTGTGAATGATTTCCCTGCTCGCTCTGTGTGTTTGTATTAAAATGAGATCATCCACACAGTGAAGTAAGGTGACAGAGGTGGCTAAATATACATCAGTCATCACAGACAAGAGATAACAGCGTACAGAGACCCTGTATGCAGGGGGAGACTGCAGGCTGCATATTGTGCAGGAAAGTGTGAGACCACTCTGGCCCCTGAGCACATATTTTTGAAAGTGCACGCTGCAGATTTTCTTTGCAACACCTTATGGCCCCACGCCTTTTAGCCTCCTCTTCTTCTCTTATGGAAACGGGAGAGCAGAGGGAGGCAGAGCATACTAACTTGGCTCTGCAGTGTCTCTTTTTTTTTGCTAGTTGCATGTGATGAATGCGAGAAACTAGCATGAGGTGGGATGGTTGTGGGATGCCAGACTTAACCTGCCTTTCTGAGGTGTTTTGGGGTTGTCAAGGGAGGTGCCCACTTGATAATCCTGTTGACGTCAGCTCTTTCCGTCCATCTACATCAGGTGTGGAGCCCTGCCATAATGGGTCAAGTACCACCTATCAGCATATTTACATGATTTCAAAGAATTATTATTGCATATGTCAAAACTAGCAAAAGTATTCAACATTCCTCTACATTTTGCACATTCAGCATTGACTCAGAAGTTTGACAGATAACTACGACTGTGGGAAAGAGCAGGCAAAAGAGAAAACCTGGTTCAGTGTTACAACATGCGAATTCTACAGAGAAAAGCCCTAACTGGATTCAAACCAGGGAACCCCTTGCTCTAAAGCTGAGGCAGCCACACCACACCTTTAACTTTGCATATTTTTACATAACACATTGACTAAGAATAATATTTTGCTCTGTTTTATCTCAGAAATCTAACATTTAGACATGCCTCTGTCAGTTACTTCGCCTGGTGCCCCCCCTAAAATCTGAATTTTTACTCAGAAAGCTGCAACAACTTAAGGTATCTTAAGCTCAAAATCCAAGATGGCTGCAAATCAGCCACACTTTTGATGCAATTATTGGCAACTTATTCTGGTTTTGTGTCAATAGATCAATCACACTGTTAGTATTGTACAAGTCTTACTTTTGGGCACATTGTCATGTTGCAGTCACGCGCAAGCTATCATGTTGTGTATTGTTGTTGCCTGGTATAGTAAATGATGCTCACAACATCAGCTCATGTGTGATATCATTCCCAGCTCCAGTATATGATTACTGAGGTTAATGGAATACATGAAATTTGATATCTGCGTAATTGTTTCAAATAGAGTAATAAGCCATACAGAAGAATGTTAGTGTTGTACATGTTGTACATCTCTGATGATAAGCATTTTTAAATGGGGCTAAATGGGGATTGGCCTGTTTTTGGGGACAGCTTCAAGTGGACACTTGAGGAACTGCAATTTTGGGACCTTTGATTTTCTTGTGAACAGGATAAAATTGGAGGTTTTAATGAATATTCTCAGCTCCAGACTTTTTCAGTTCTCTTTTTAAAATGACCAAGGCAAAGAGATAATCTTTTACTGGATCTTGATAATGTCTGTAGTTTGTTAGCAGGCTGCAGTTACAGATTTGCATCATAAAAGTGCTTTACCAGAGGGAGACCTAAGGTCAGTGAGCTGGCCTTATTAAAGGGGGTCATTACACCTAAAACATATTTTCCCTAAATCCCAGGTTACTGAGAGAAAAACAAAAAAACACACCCAAAATGTCCATTTTTGTCCCGAAGATGCTCCAGGGGTTAAAGAGAACTATTTTTTAATTTTGGTTCAACAATGGACAGAGGTAAACAGGTGTTAACTACTGAAAAACAGTATTCAGACCACTCAGACAGGCAAGATGGCGCCTGTAAAGCTCAGTTTGACAGCTGCTGGGTAATACTAAGTTGTCTTATTTAACTCATCAACACACATCAATTCATAAAGCTTCTATTACAAAAACAGCTCAAATCAATGTGGGATTAACAGCAGGTTTGAAAAAGACATGATTGTTATAGGGTGTGCTTTTGTTTACATTTAAATGTGAAAAATTTGAATGCAAACAAACTCCGTGATGACATCATTATGACATCATCACGGCTCTCATCTCGTGTTACTAACTGGAAGTAGAGCAGCTGTCCAGGGTAGGATCGTTTGAACCTTTCAGCGAGTGGCTACACTTCAGGAAAGAGACAATCGGAATCTTTTAGCAGGAGCCGGCACAATAGCTCTACATTGAGGGAACTCATATATCATACCAATCATTTCGCCATTGTTTCAGGTAATTAACTGTTTTCTTATTGTGTTTACATTATTTTGTGTGCTCATTGCGGACATGTACTGATGACTCGGGTAAGAAAGTTTAAAGCTAACACGGGGGCAATTGATCACTGTGTCACAACGTATAGAAGGGAGACTCTCAGTAAAGAAAGATTTTAGCTTATGCCTAGAAGTGCCAAGTGTGGGGAAGTATGGTT